TCTAGCGGCGGTGCAGGCAGGGCCCCCTCCTGCAGCACTCAGCCCCGGGCAAAGCACTTTGCCTGTGCCGCAGAGCCACAGAGCAGCCAGGCCTGGCCCGCGGCAGCCAGCCCGGCAGCCGCAGCCACCGCAGAACACTTTGGCAGCGGCCTGTTCCCGCGGCTGCAAAACATCTTCCTCGCCCGGGACGATACCGGGCTTGGGGCACCCCGGGGAGGGTGGCATGGGTGGGCAGCTGTGCCCTCGCAAACCCCACTCTGGCACTGCAGCTCTGCCCCCCTCCAGCCCGACGCTGCGCTGGTGCTGCTCTTTTTTAAGCCTCCCTCTGTCTCTAGGTGGAGATTTGTGGCGTAAAATGCACAATATGTTCTATCTGCCCTGTGGGAGCCATAAAATATTCACCAGCAGCTCCCATTATAGTCAGAGTGAATCACAGAGAGCGCTCAAGCCCTCGCTCCCTGATGTGCCCCCTCCCCACGCAGCCCTGGCGCGGCCGCAGGGCTCCGGCAGTGGTGGGGGCCGGGGCTGGCGGGGCGCGCGGCGCGCCGCGCGGCCGGCCAGCGCCCGCCTGGATCCTACAGCAAGGACCCACGTTTCCACCTCCAGCCCTGGGAGACACCCCTGGGCTCGGCGGGTCGAGGGGTGGTGACCGTGCCGATGGGATAGCAAACACCTTCGCCCGCCTGAGCATCCTCATGGCCGCCCAGGAAGAAGCAGCATCAACCCTGTGCATGGAGGGGACCAGCGCTATGGGCACAGGAGCAGCCAGCAGCGCGGTGGGCTCACATGCCCACAGCAGCCTGCCCTCTCGCCCTCTCCCGCCAAGTGCGACCTGGCGTCCTCGGGGTGACTTGTGCCGTCACTTGGCTTTTTGTAGCCACAGCCTCTTGATTAGGGTCTTACCGCCATGCCAGGGCAGGGCCCGGTGGGACAGCCCCTGCCTGCTTGCTGCCTTCATCGTCACACACGTGCTCCAGCCTCTCTGCTGTTCATATGGGTCGGTACAACAGCACTCTTGCTCCCTCTTCCCCCGTCCTGCTGTCCATCCTTCCGTCTGTCCTTCCCTTCCGACCCACCGCTCTCACTGCCTGTCCCCATCTCCCCCTTCAGACCTCAGGCTTAAGACATGACAGAGTCAAGGGATGACAAATTTACTGATGAAGCAACACACTACGCCAAAGCTGATGTGTCAAATACAATCAGATCTTTTGACACACAATTATATGTAATTATAAAGCAGTTAGTGCTGGCTCAACCCTTGTGAATCACGCGCAATTACGGCTTGATTTCACCTCCCTCTCCTCCATGGCCCCTGCTCTTGTCCATTGCCAAGTTGGTGACCCTGGGGGTGTCCTGAGGGCTCTCGGTGGCTCAGGGCCGTGGGCAGCATTGCTGCCGTCCACTACCAGCCACGTGCCCGCTCCTGGGAGATGCTGTCCCCTCCACGCACCAGCCCACCCGGTGCCCGAGTATCCCCGGCTGCACCGGGCGCCGCCTTGCCGAGCTCCTGGCATGGTGGGATTTGCCCCCAGCACGTTGGCTGGTGCAGGGCTCGCCACGACGTGGCTCCGGAGAGCCGTGGCCCGTGGGGAAGGCAGGACGCAGTTGCCCGCCTGGGCTGGCCACGCAGCCCACCATCACGACAAGGGCCACCACCAGGTCACTGGGCTGAGATGTCCGAGTGCGTCCTTGGCGTTGAGCAGCACAGAGCCGGGTGGGGGGGACCCCGTTCACGCGTGGGGCAGCCCCGTGGTTGGTGACAGGCAGCGGTTTTAGCCACGCAACCCAGCCGGCATCCCTGGGAGGGAGCGGGCAGGAGGGAGCAGGGCCCACGCAGGCAGCCTGCCCGCAGAGGCGAGGGCAAGGGGCTGCGCGGCCGCGAGGGTTAAACCCTGCCTCTGCCGACACGGCTCCTCTCCCTGAACAGACTGAGGGGAGAGGAGGGGAGCACGGCAGTGCCCTCCCCGCCAAAATTAACTCTCCATCTGTTTCTCCCCGGCTGAGGCTGATGGCTTGTGACAGGGCCTCCTGAATGCAAAGATGTTTCGCCCGGAAAAAATCTATTACAAGTTGCTGTAAGAAAGACCGAAACCTTCTCCTTCTGTCTCTCCCTACTGGTCTCAAGGTGCCCACCCCGGGCGAGAGCGGGCTGGCGCGCAGCCGGCCGCCCCCGCCCAGCCGGAAAGCTCTCCCCGCCGCCAGCCCGCCCCAAAAAAGCCGCAACGGGGAGGCGGGAGGGAGGATGGGTGCTGCCGGGGGTGGTGGTGAGGATGAAGAAGCCGCTCCTTCATCCCCAACCCGGGCGCGGTGCCGGCGATGCACCGGGCGCGGCCCTGGCACCATCGCACCCCTCGGCCGTCCCGCAGCCCGGGGGGTGGTGGTGAGGATGAAGAAGCCGCTCCTTCATCCCCAACCCGGGCGCGGTGCCGGCGATGCACCGGGCGCGGCCCTGGCACCATCGCACCCCTCGGCCGTCCCGCAGCCCGTCGTGATGCTTACGGGGAAACTGAGGCAGGAGGTGCCCTGCCCACCGGCTGGTGCCTGACCCCGGCCGGGACCTGGAGCCCCGCGTCGGCCCCGGCCCCGGCCGCTC